TTGTGTTCGATAAAAGAAAACACAGTTCTAATTCAGATATGAGCGAAATTAACTGGGATAGGTGGACGCGAATGGTAAGGTCTCAAGGTATTGGTTTGGCCACCCCGCATTAAGGGCGGAGATAAATGACAGTGGCTAAGTTGTGTTCAGGCTTTGCCGCGAAAAAGAAAGAACCCGAGTTAGATGTTGGCTTTGTTCCTCGATCGTTCGCTTGTGCTCCTGATTTAGAAATTTCGTGTGAAATCTCTTTCATCAAGATCTTATCACTGTATAACGCTAGATGTCAACAAGCATTTCCCATATATAGCCGATTCTGAGTGTCAACATTTACTTCCGTTTTATCTTTCGGCACCCGATGGCTTTTGAGTTTATGCGACTCGAAAGTGCACAAAATTATCTCGCTCATATTTTTTCTAGTTCTCATAAATGCGGTCATATTCCCTAACCATTCATGGACTTAAAACGGTGTCGTAGCTTCTCACCGAGCTAGAAGAAAAAAAAAAACTTATCGATTGATACCAAACCATGACTTTCAAAATTTCCTTCATAGTCGGAAGAAAATAGTACCGCAACACAATTGGAAAAGCCGAACATTACTTAGTTAGAACAAAGTTTCATGGGAAACATGTTTTCAAGGAAAAACGAAAGAAAAAGCCATACCTGCGTTGGAAAACAAAGGCCGTCAATTGTTGATGAGTTGTAGGTTGGCCGAGCGGTAATTGAAACCAGAAAGTCAAGCTCTATTTTCATTTGGCAGTTAAATGCTCTTTGCCACTAAAGCTTTTTAGAGTTGCTTTCAGATAAAATTGCAACAAAATGATACATTGAGAGATCCCGGGCCTCAGAGGGCACAACTATTTCAAAATCGCAACAACGAGAAAGCAAGAATCAAATGCACGTACTGATCTTAAAATAATCAGGCTTTTTTGAGTTTTAAGAATTTCTAGCAATCATTAAGGATAAAAAAAAAGTTATATCAAAGGCAAAAAAAGGAAGAAAATGAAACCATTAAGCTTAAGGGTCTATTTCAACGTAACCCTTCAACCTCTAACAGTGATAAGTATCTAATTTCTCTTCACAGTCTCAATCCTAAATCAAACACTAAGGTCACGAATACAAAAGAAATAATCATTTATCAAAGAAGCTCTTGATCGTTAAACAATTTCTCCCCGTCGTTAAAATAGGAAATGTCTTGAGAAAAGTAGAGAGAGTATGCCTACCAATATAAGGTATATAAGGGAAAGGGAGAACATACCGTTTGATCCCTTGGTACTGTCCGCTACTTTCTTTACACCGAGAGGATTACCAGTATTACAACTGAAGAAGCCACCAAAAGGGACTGACTGCTGGAAGCCTAGCTCGTAGTCATCGCTCACACAAATTTGCATGGTGGTTCCGAAGCGCAAGGCGTAAAACTTCGCTGGACAGCTGTGATCTTGTGTGACTGGGTTCTTTAACACATTGCTGTAGAGTCCACCAAAGAGATATCCTGTATTACGAGGCACAAAACCTTTAGCAACACACCAGTAGGTGTCGCAGCTGGCGAATCTGCAATGAGTGTCGCAGCTTTTAAAAATCCACCATCCGTGGCACTCACGATGACAGCTTTCGGGTGTGCGACCTTGATGTAGCATGACTGGTTCATAACCATTACTACAAGAGTAGTTGGCCGTGAGAGGGTTCTTCTGGAGAAAGGATTCACATGGATTACTGGATGGAGAGCCATCACATTGGCACGTTTGATAAACGCCCCCGAAGGTGTAGTTATTGGTTGGGCTCTCGCAAGATCCATCGTCGAGGTTGGCCTGAAAGCTGAAGTTCGGAGAGTCCATTTTGGTGCATCCTTTAATAGTATTGTGCTCATAGTACTGTTTAATGGCTTTTTCGACAACGTTGGCTAGTTTGAAGACCAGTTCTTCGGACAATTCTGGTACACTTTTGGGTGTAATTGCAAAATGAAGAGGGTCTCCGGACCGATCAACTGCAACCAGCTCATCCGATAGTTGGTCTTCCGATTTATTAATGGTAAAATTCATCCTGAATGGAGGTCCACCGAATGTATATACTGTGGAATAAACGATGTTCTGTGTGTATTCATCCAAAACTTTTTTGTCTGTTGTCTGAGTATAGCCAGCACCGACTCCAAACTTTCCCAAAAAAGATGCACTCGCGGCGGCTGTGATCTTACTTTTATCATCACTGAAACCAGCAACGAATTTCTTTGTCAAGTGATCCACTTTGGCCAGGGCTGTTCCGGCCTTGACGCCTGTAACATAATGCGTTCCGAAATCTCGAACTAATTTTAGGGCGAGAAAATTCGCATAGGCAGTATTGATATGCTGTAAGTGAGATGCGATCTCGAGCAAACGGGACTTGAACGGTGCCTGTAGAGGAGCATCGGGCTGGAGTTTCGCCGTGTATAAAACATGGCGTAGTTGTGCTCGAGTGGTTACGGCCTTATCTTCCACTTGATGTTTCTTCACTGATTCGAACTCAGAAGAAAACGAACCACTTATGCTTCCAAAACCAAATTTTCCCGAAGCTTCCGCATTGATAGACTTCGTTGTGGTGGACGAATAGTTGTGCCAGTGATCGTACATTTCAGCAAATACATGCACTTTGCTCTCCTTGATAGGATACAGGATCACATCATCGGGAATGAGATACTTGCCGTCGTCTGAAGTCTTGCACTTGGAGTAATTCATCACTGAAACAGCGCCCATATGAACATTTCTTAAGTTGTCCCAGCCGCCTCCCGGAAGAACCTCGAAGCGATAAACTCCGTTTGTAAGAGGACAGTTTCGTGGATCGCCAACTGGAAATCGTGGTGAAGAATTATTTTCAGCGTAAACAAGACCGGATCCAAGAACGACCAAAGAAACTTGAAACAATCCAAACGCTCGGAGAAACCCAGCCGATAACGCCATCATAAATCTGATCAGAAACGAAAGGGCACTTTTCTTTTATAGACCTGTTAACACTGAGTTATTTTCGTATGTATGATCGTCACGTGATCCAAGAGAGATTTCGGTTTTGAATCAATTTTTCCTTCCGTTCCATCCCTTACAAGCACGTTCAAGGCTCATAAACAAACATCGAGTGACATAAGTGAAAATAATCACAAAAATAAAATCTGAACGTATTGTGACGTGTTTACGTAGCACACTCTATGTTCCTCCTTGTAAGTCGTTATTTGCCTTCATTCAGCTATTTCTCTGGTAAATAATTTTATAAAGTGAAAGAAACAAACGTTTACCTTGTTGAGTGGGTTCTATAATTATGCGTTTCGGGAAACTAGACTGTGGAAATATCGCATGAATAATCAAGATCGTTTTCATCTTGGCAGGCGCACCGTTCAACACGTATGTGCGTGAAGACAATCTGCAAATAGCATAACTTAGCCTCTTTAGTCTTGCAACGAGCATGGAACGGAGTGAAAAACCTGAGTCTAGTTGAGAATGTTTTACAAGCTACCGAGAACCGCTATGGTCACGTTACTCATTACTAAGCTTATATGCGTCACGCTTCCTGCATACTGTTGGGATCAGCGATGTCGAAAGCATTGTACAAGTGAACAGAATGAGGAAGATGGTAATTTTTAAGCTCGGTAATGAAATAATAAAGATAAAACAAATAACTTGATCTCATCTGCCGCCGCATCGGGTGATGTCCCAAAAGTCCCTTGCGAAGTAGACTAAATATAACTTAGTTCATCCGGACAGCAATGCCTTTAGGAATTAATATTGTATATGTATCGTCAACGTCTCAATATTTGGAGCCATTTTTCTCCGCCGAAGATAACTTGGTATGATAGAAATTCAAAATCATATATACGACAAGACAAAACTTGATATTTACACTAGTAAGAGAGAAAAACATGCCCGTCTTGATCTTATCAAGTTAACCAAAGTACTCTTTAACTTTCTATATTTGTTGAGTGATTTGACTTATCTAATGTACGTATATGTTACTAAGCATTGGAAAGTGAAAGGGCACGTAGACTGTTTCGGTTAAACATTTATGTGACAAAATCACTTCGATAATTGACGTCAGGGGAGGGGAGGGTAGGGTACTCGTTGATCCAGCTGAGGCATGTAACTTAGGACTAATTCCTTGTCGTTGTTTAAATTTGAGGCCTTAACGTCATAGAAAAAGGAGTGACATGTAATTCCTAAAAGTCTCATTGTTAAATAAGAAAGGTATCTCGTGGCTGTAGTCAAACGAGGATTTTCCTGTTGTGTTTCTTGATTATGGTTTGTAGGTTGTCTGTGCAGCTACAACTAACTTTCGTGTTGTTTTTGTTGAAAATTTTGCTGTACCGGTGATTTTTCGGAAAATGTTTACTGACGAGGTTCTGAACCTCGTCAGTAAACATTTTCGAGAGTAAAAATCCTCGAGACAAGGAAGACACCCTCCACGGAAAACAAATGTAACTGCAGGAAAAAAAAACGACTGCCCTCACTTCAAGCGTCGCCTACAACGCCAACGTAACAACAGAAAATGGCATTTCTTTTCGGAACAGAAACTATTCAAACAGCACGGAACTATCAAAGCATATCTGGACACTCAAGGACAACAACACCAATTTTACAATTAACTGGAGTATTTTAGCGACCTCCCCGGCCTACAGCAACAAAAGCAAGCGGTGCCACTTGTGCCTCACAGAAAAACTTTATTTAGTTAGAGCTAAGAAGCCGTCTTGACAGCAAAGTTAGTAGAACCGGGACGATCGCAACTTACTTAAAAAAGTAAGATCGAACCCGTATTAAGCAACACCGCATTAAGCGGTTACCCTGTATTAAGCGATCAGTTGTCAAAGGCCTGAATTTTTTTGCCGCTAATCACTGCAATTTTTCACCTCTATTAAGCGGTCGCGGTCACCCTTTACTAAGTGCCAACGGCCTATTATTAATTGGTTCTAATTGAAGCAGCAAAGACAGTTCGAGACGCTTTGTGTCTTTCGCCGAGCGTGATGTGCTCGATAGCTAATTCCCCTCGACATTTGATAGCATAACGTATAGATTAATTTATGGGGAGGGCACGCGTACGGCATTTTCGCACGAGTTGGTGATGCATCAGAAATCGAAAGAGTGAGCATAGCGAACCAGTGAGATTTCTGATACAAACCAACAAATGCGAAAATGCCGTATAAGTGCCCTTCCCATGATGTAATTTGTTTATTTCATACATCTTGAGATTCCCCTTTTTTGTTGTTGTTTTATTTTATTTTTATTTTTAAATGAGCTTACAAGTCATTAAAGTAAAAGTGAAGACGCTGCTTTCACTTGCAAAAACGTAGCTTCAAATGCGTAAAAATGCATGAGCTCAAGTAGCTCTACAAAATTACAAACAAGCTTTATTCGTGATAAAGTCGATCACTTAAATATTATTTTTTAAAAAGTCAGTTAGTGGTAAACTTTTTCATTGAAGTAGTCTGCTGTCGTTATCATCTGACGATTCAAGAATTCGTTTGATTCGTTTGTAGCATCGTTCCGTTGATTTGAGCCATCTGCACCAGTTCCTGGTGACTTGTTCACAGTGCTTATAGTTATGTTGAATTGTCCGCTTTGGAATACGGTTCCACTGTAGGGACCAACAGCAGGAAACATCGAGGTTTTTATTTACGAAGCCTCCGCTTCGGCCTTCAAAGAGGTGGTTGCAGCGGTGCTTGTAGCATTGTTGTTTGTGGCGCTCGCGGCATTGCATGTTGAAGGCTTTAAGCTCAGTATCAATGACATGTTTTTCTGTTACTCTTTAGAAACAGAGCTGTAGTTGTTTACACTTTGCATATCACAGTGACCTGAAAGCTGTATGATGTGAGTGGGGGGAACATTGCTTTCGTTAATTTTTTGCATCATCGTTTTTCCTGCGCTGTGGTTCGTGAGCCGTCGCTTCTCGTCGAGTCCAACTTTGTTTGCCATAGTTTTCATTAACGAGTTCGGTTTGTTTGCCCCCATTGCACTTGCATCAACCAGAATCCATTGAATAGTTGATACTAAGATAGAAAGGGGTCTCGGTGATCAGCAATGAGTTTGGTCTTTTCTTGCGATAAATTTGTAAACAAATACGGGGTTTCTCTCATCTGGCCCGTCTTGAGTGGCGAAAACTTTAGGCTTGACTGATCTGATATTTCAAATTTCCGCTCCAGTTCGTGTTTTGGTCCGTCGTTCAGAATATTCTTGTTCTTGTTTTCCTGCTCCCGAATAACCTCATTTACGGGTTTTTCTAACGCCGGAAGTCATGAACTTGAGGTTTCGGCCATCTCAAAAAGCTAATTTTGGGAAATAAGTTTGACTATAGAACTCCAAACCCCTTTCAAATGTTTAGACAACCAACGACGAAGCTAAGTTTCAAGTAAACTGACGGGGTAGGAGAAGGATAAGGCGTGAAAACCCAGTACTTCTGGCAGGTTCTTCGTGATTGGACGAACCGTTTTCTCCACGCGTAAAATTGTCGTTTCTCAGATTTGATTGGCTGTAAAAAGTTGTGAACTAGGTTTTGAGACAACAGATTTCGTAGTGAAAATCTCAGTATGTATAAAAGGACACTTCACAGTGGAAGTAGTAGAAGGCCTGCCTTATAGTTTTCTGTGGCCTTGTACAGGTCAAAGTTCTGAGCCTCAGACAATTTTTGGTCGAGTAATTCAGTCTCCCGAGTCTTAAGGAATACATTAATTTTGTCCACCATGTTCACTGACTTGTCAGCGCGCGGACTGAGGTCACTTGCGCGCGCTTGAATGGGCTAGCCAATGAGAAGCGTTTTCTACGACTTTGTTGCGTTGCATGTTGCAGTGCAAGTGGTAAAACAATCAACAAACACCAGGATTCGTTGCAAAAAGTAGAACCGTCTTTTACTTCGTGGAACATGTGGCTGCAATTCGCTAGACTGAATGTTGTTGCGCAACAAGTTGCACAAGCGAGTGGTGATACGGGCAACAACGCTTTCCAACTTGCAAAGCAAAGATGTTGCGCGACAAGTTGCAAGAAAAATTGACAAACTCTGCCCTCACCCACGTCTGGAAGAAAAATGCGCGGATGCGTTTGGAAACTCAACTTTCATAAATTCTATGGCCAGAGCTACCGTATATACCACTCGGCTGAATTGAAAACGGAGGTTTTCAAAATGCTCTTCGATTCAAAGTGAGTCAATTTGATTAACACCGGTTTTGAGTTTTGCTGCGGATAGACAAAATTTCGAAAACGACACTCGATAGCACTTTAGATAGCACTTTTCCACCAGCATTTCTGCCGGGGTGGCGATCACTGTTGTACGGACCTCACCACAGGTGCGATGACCGACTGCTGAGACAAGCATTTCATAATTGGGTTTATTTACAAGTAACAACATTTTCAAAAGTAAGATAAAAAGAAATGTAGACACATACATCAAGTCAACAGAAGATAAGTTGAAATGAAGGAAAACATGTTCACAACCTAGTCTGGGACACAGCACATAAACGTACGTTGTCCTCTATGTGCCGAGAACGCGGTCTTAAAATTGACAGAAGTTTAGGATATTTCCTTGCAACTGCAGCAATTATAACCTTGCTAAAATCCTCCTTAGTAAATGATACCTCTTTGCTAGTTCACTGCAATTAATACGTCCTGAAGTGCACCAATGCTGACGTATTTAAAATGAGCCACACCTCAAATTACGAATTGTTTAGCGACATTATACATCATTGAAGTTGCACAACAGTGAATCGGCAACAAAAAAAGTTCGTTGATCTTACTGTTGGCTGCAAATTATCTCTAAAGCTTTCATTAAGTCCTACATGCTGAACCAAATTTTAACATTGCCCAACTCGCAGCGATACGATGACGAGCTACCTTAGCTCACTGCTTTGCATCGTATTACAGCTTTCTTTTTGTGCTTTAGCGTATTTCTCCGTCGCTTGTAATCAATTTAAAATGTTCATTACAGCAGGAAAAAAATGGTAAATCTGGACCTCATAAAGCGGGTTATTGACGAAGTGGCGATCAAGCTAGCAGGTTACAAAGTAGGAAAAAACCGTGTTACAGAGATAAACAATTAGGGAGAAGTTTCGATTTATGGAATCGAGCTGGAAGATTTGCCGTAGGCCGATGTTGTATATTGAAAAGTACGCCCATTGTTGTTTTTGAAATAATTCAACGCATTTTATCATCGTGAGACTCAAAGCCAATTATGGTCAAATTCACAGCTGATATAATCAATTTGATAAAGGATACATACGGCGACTACCTGTCATCTCTCTCGCGGAACCCTGCACCGCACGTTAGATATGTTTACACGGTGACGGGTTTCCGGTTTTCCGGGATGGGTGCTCCTTTTTCATTCGTTTTTACAGACCGAGAGCCTTACGCAGTCTAGGCAACCAAAGGTCGGCAGAGCCACAAGGTTGGTATAAAGATGGCCGACCGCCTTCACAAGGCACGTGACAGTTGCCCAACTAAAGGAACTTTCCCTCCCATCCCGGAACGCCTCAACAACTTTATAGGATTTTTATAACAAGTATCGTGTCCTTGTTATCTTCCTTATATTACAGCCCTGACAAATATTTGCTGACAGCTTCACGAGGCTTAACAACCCTTAACATGATGATTTTAGAGATATGAAACTCATATATTTGCATTGCGGTGAAGAAACGAAATTAAGAGATCCTCGCAGCCGAGAACACTACTGAAACGATTAGTTGAAAATAGGACCTGAAAAAAATTCAGGCCCGTACGGGATTTGGACCCATGACCTCTGCGATACCAGCGGTGCAGTGCTCTACCAACTGAGCCAACAAGCCAACTGGGAGCTGGTCAATGTGTTGGGTCCAAATAAACCATCCAAGTGATGAATGATGATTTAGGTAAATGAAATTCATATATTTGCACTGCGGTGAATAAACGAAATTAAGAGATCCTCGCAGCTGAGAACACTACTGAAACGAGTAGTTCAAAATAGCAAATAGATTGATTACTTGCAGGCCATAAGAAACTCATTTGGAGCGTAAGAAAATCTAATGGTCAGGTTTGAAAGAAAGATTCTCTCCTTGTTTATATCGAATTCTAACGTCAGTATAATTTCTCTGTATATCTATTTATGTATTTATTCGTCTATTCATTGTTTTTCAACGTGATTCAATGCAAAATAACTTCTCTAAACCGACTACTGAATAGGCAGAATAACTTTTAAGATTATACCGTAATCAACACAGTTCTATATAAGTAGTTAGAGAGCACAAAATAGTAATCCAGCGTTTGTCCGACACAATACAGAGAAAATTTTCAATTGAGTGTTATAATCCAAGATTGCTTTGTTTTCGTTCTTCTTCGATCTATAGTTGTTGCAGAAAACTCGACCAATAAGATCAAAATTCTAAGCAATTCACGACTCAGTCGCTCACGTTTTCCCGCGCTTGAGGCAATTCGGTGGTCTTTACTTTAAGTTGTCATTGGCTTTTAAAGTATTTTTCTTTCTTCTGATTGGAAGTTGTGATTACTTTGGTTCTGGTTTTCAGACACTCAATATCATCGTGTAAACAGGTGTAACAGTACTCTGTCAAACAAAACCTCCTGTGCTTACATTGTCTGCACCTCAAAAATTAGGGTTAATTCTTCCATCACACTTACATTAGAACAAATGCTGAAAACAATGTAACTTCAAAAACGAATTTACGGGAAAAACTAAGACAATAGATCAACTTTAAAAACGTTTAAAGAGACACCAAGTTATTATCTACACAAATTTCCTATTTACGTTTGTTAAGTTTGGGAAAAAAGAAAAAAGTTCTGGGGTAATTCAAACTCGTGGGCTTCCTTGCTCATTAATTGCGCCGTACCCAGGGGGATTCAATGGCTCCATCAAATCGCTGCTCTCTCTTTGAATGGTCTTATGGCGACGCCAGCCAATGACCATGACTGCGATCAGCAATCCCGCCAATGCTGTCACGCCGAATGTCATACCAGCCGCGGCCCCGGCACCCATGGCATCACGGGAACTTTGTTTCGGATCCATACCTATTATCGCAGGACCATCTAGGTTGAATTCGGCTGCGAGTTCAGCGACAGAGCTGGATGCGAAAGAGATAAGAGAAATAGTTTACTAATTCTCTGAGAAGATGCAGCTCGTTGAGGTAAAAAGGACAGTCAGTTCAATCGCCTGTGCTAATAAATTTGGTTCCCTTTTCTATTGATCTGTTATTATTCTGTTGGTTGGTTGGTTGG